ATTTGCTCTCGAGTACCCCCTCACTCAACAACTCAGGAGGAACTTTAATTCTATTGACCTCCAGCAGCTGTCAGCTGATATTGATTCACAACTCCTATCCATCCCTTCCCTCTCCTGTCCCTCACTGGCCATCTCCACATACAACACTACCCTCACCTTTGCCTTGAACGCTGCAGCCACACTCCAAACAAGCACCTCGAGAAAGACACGCCCCACAACTGTGGCATACTAAATCAACACGCTACCTGTAAAGATGCTACCATTGTGCTGAATGCTCCTGGAGGAAGTCTCGCACCCAGTCAGACTTTCTCCATTATAGATTCATATTGTGTTCATACAGCGCAGCCCTCGCCCTCGCCAAACAGACATACTTTTCCTCTCTCATTAGTTCATGCTCCCGCAATCCCAGGCGTCTCTTAAACACATTTAACTCTCTTCTTCGCCCTGCTGTGGCCCTCCTCAAACTAACCTTACAGCCGAGAGCTTTGCATGCTACTTTACCGACAAGATTGAACAGCTAAGGAAAGAATTATCCCAACCCTGCCTTTCTCTTTCTCAACCACACATACATAATGCCTTTCCTACCCTTCAGACTTTCCCCCCGGCTACTGAACAAGAGGTGGCTGCACTTCTCCTTTTCCTCTCGCCCCACCACTTGCCTGCTTGATCCTGTCCCATCTCCCATTATCAGATCTCTCTCCCCTTGTCATGTGCCTTCCTTAACACACATCTTCAACTGCTCTCTCTTTTCTGGCATTGTCCCTGCTGACCTTAAACATGGTACTGTAGTACCTATCCTGAAAACAACATCCCTTGACCTTTCCACCCCCTCTAACTATCGGCCCATATCTCTGCTCCAATTTTCCTCAAAGCTTCTGGAAAGAATCGTATGTCTCACTTCCTCAATTCCAACTCATTGACCCTCTTCCATCTGGCTTTGACCCTCTCCACTCTACTGAGACTGCTCTTATCAAAGTTACTAATGACCTAATCACAGCTAAATCCAAAGGCCACTACTCCATACTAATACTTCTTGACCTCTCTGCTGCCTTTGACACTGTTGGTCATGCTCTCCTTCTTCAAACTCTTCAATCACTCGGTCTCTGTGACACTGTGCTCCCTTGGATTTCCTCCTATCTCTCCCAATGCTCATTCAGTGTCTCCTTTTCTAATGATACCTCCTCCATTCATCCCGTCCCTGTTGGAGTCTCCCAAGGCTCTGTCCTTGGTCCCCTTCTATTTTCTCTTTATACTGCCTCTCTTGTCAAACTGATTACTTCATTTGGATTCCACTACCACCTGTACGCTGATGACACTCAGCTATATATCTCCTTCCCAGACCTCTCCCCTGCCGTCCTGCAACGTGTCACTGCTTGCCTTTCCTCCATCTCTGACTGGATGTCCTCCCGCTTTCTAAAACTAAATCTCTCTAAAATGGAACTCCTTGTTTTTCCTCCTCCTAATACTGATCCACTTCTTTTGCTCTCCCTTCAAGTCAGTGGTATCCACATTAGTCCATCCTAGCGCTGTCTTGGTGTCATATTTGATTCTAGCCTCACCTCACATCCAGCATGTTACCAAATGTTATGCCCCTTCAAAGTCTCTCCACTCTGCCCGTGACCTTTTCCTGTCTGTTGCTCGCACCCGTACAGCCAACTCACGCTTGCAGGACTTCTCGCGGGCGGCTCACTTCCTATGGAACAGTCTGTCTACCTCCATCAGACTCTCCCCAAGTTCTCAATCATTTAAGAAGTGCCATAAAATCTTTCTTTTTAGGAAAACTTATGGTCTCCCAGAGTAACCTCTACCTCACATACCTGTATCTTGCTCTCTACTGGAGGGCAGCACTCTACTCTCTCCTGCAGCTCTGCTTCACTCCCACCTATTTTGATTGCTATTCCCTGTCCTGTTGTGTTTTACACCCCACCTCCTATAGACTGTAAGCTTGTTTGAGCAGGGTCCTCTTCAACCTATTGTTCCTGTAAATTTTTTTGTAATTTATAATTAAATCCCCACTCTTATAATATTGTAAAGCGCTACGGAATCTTTTGGCGCTATATAAATGTCAATAATAATAATAAATTACCCAAGATTACTCCCGGTATCCTCAAACCTTTTGCTAGATCTCGAGGGGAACTGTCATCCACTTCTATTCCAAGGACATCTCAGGGTATTGGCTTGGCTCCTATCCGGGGATTCAGTCTCCTCACAGAAGTTTCACAAACAACTCTGGATCTCTTGGCAGGAGCTTGGGCTCCATGAACAAGGGAATCATATCTCAATGCCTGGAACTCATGGAATGGTTTGTGCATGGAACGACAACTGGATCCCTTATCTACACCTGTGAGTCACGTTTTGAGTTTTCTTACTGAACTTTTTGAACACGGACTGGCATAGCTTGCGGTGAATCTCTATAGATTGGCTACATCAGCAGGCCACAAAGGTTGGAATGGATCCCCAGCAGTACAACACCCCTTAGTGGGTTGACTCCTTCGCGGTATCAGGTTTGCACGCCCACCTTGCCCTAAACATTCCTTAGTGTAGAATGTTAACATTGTTCTCAGATTGTTTGATATTTTGTCTCAGAACAAAGACCTTTCACTCAAACAGCTGGTTATGTTATTCTGTTTAAATTCCTGTAAACTTGTCTCAGATGTTAGTGCACTGGCTGTTACAGCACGTTTTTTTTACTCCGGATGGCGTCACCTTTAACATCTCCAGACGTACTAAGATATCTATCACATCGGTTTTTTTTACCCGGCTTTTCCACATAATATCAACCTATGTCCGGTGGATTGCCTCAAGGAATATGAAGACAGGAGATCCTCAATACGTGACAATTCATATCCTGATTTGTTTATAGCTCTTTGACATCCACATCGACCTGTTTCCACAGTTACAATATCTAGATGGGTTAAATGGATTATGACGTCAGCGGGCATTGACACTTTCATGTACGGAGCACACTCGGCTAGAGGCGCTATGGCATCTAAGGCCTTCTCGTTGGGGTGTATACAGGAAGACCTCCTATGTGCTGCTGATTGGTGTCATGGTACAGCCCGAGCCCTGCTGAGAGACCTGGTTGGGTTTGAACTCACCCAGGTCTAGCATCTCAGTAAGATTCTCTGCCATGTTGTCCACCAGGGGGCTTCAGTTTCTGTTTGCATGCTTCCTGACCCCTTGCCTGGATTAAGCAGCACTGATCCACCTGCAGCCCTTTGCCAATTACTGTCAGCTGCACCTAATTAGCAGGCTGTAAAAGCCAGCCTTGCCTGAAATCTATGATCTGGTCATTTTGCCTGTTTGGTGTTTCCTGCTGGATCTTTGCTACACTATTGACTGATTTCCTGGACTCTGACCTCTGTCTGATTTACCGACTTTATTACTCCGCTGCCAGCCCTGACTTCTTCTTCTCGCCTGACTGTGTTTTGGATTTCGCCTGCTTCCTGTGCCATTTCTGCAACTGGGCTCCAACTCCTGGTAAACTGTTCCATAAGTCCCCTGGTGACTGTTACAATTGGTCCCGAGAATCTACTTTTTGGGAATTCTATTTTCATTCAATTCCACATTTTTCTTCTACGGTGGTAACACAGCTTTGAACCAGCATAATATGAGCCTCAGTGTCTTTTAATAAAATTACCAGATTTTACTAATTTCATGACATAAAGTCATGATTTTATTAAGGACATGGAGGCTAGTATTATCCCACCCAGACAAGGTAAGTTGCGCCCTCCCTAAGTCACTAATGGGCATATAACCTTCATGAAACTGTTGATTACGTTTGATTAATCTAATTCTTGGGATTATTGTTGAAACGACAATTCGAGATGTTAGTCATAAATTGTGGATGTGTGTGTATATATATATATATATATATATATATATATATATATATATACACAGTTTAGGATCATATTTTACCACGTGTTTCTCTGTTTCTTCCAGCCTCATAATTGGTATCCTACATCGATACACAAGCCGGTTCATGAAACGCTGGAACATTAACAGTTCCTTCAAGTTCTACGGTTCCATTCATCGGAAGCACATTTTTTCTTAGCGGATGATTAATGGTTCTGTTTTACTGTGATGTTCGTTGGTATCGTCAACAAAGAGGAGTGGCTCAAGGTCACGTGGGACATTATGGGGCAAGGCGCATTTTCTTTGGATAATATGTTTATAATGTATTTAATCTTTGGGGTACATGTTATTTGTTTTTTCTTTGAATATTTCAATATCCTTTCTTTGCTGCTGAGGAATAAAGAAAGAGATAAAGCTTAATACTTGCCTCTGTGACCTTAATAAAATCATGACTTTACATCATGAAATTAGTCAAATCTGGTCATTTTTACAGACACCAGTTACCATGGCCGGTCTGGGAAAAAAATTCGACCCGGGCATTTTTCGATCACAGTGGCAGGGGGCAGGGCCAGAGAGGGTGTGTTTTGTCATCACTAATGACAAGCATGCACCCTCTCAAAGTGAGCATGTTGGTTCAATGCGCAGAGCCCAGTTGAAGAGCTCTAGCATGAGAAAAAGGCCCTGTATTTGTTCTGCACATTCATTCGTGTTTGTGGTGTAATATGTGTGGCTAGGGGCTTAAGAGAATGTGTTTGTATAGGGGACATAGTGTGTATAAGGGAGGTAGTGAGTGTGTGCACACGGGCTGTAGTGTGTGTGGGTATATAGGTGTAGTGCCTAATCATTAAATTCATGAAGCACCAATATCCAAAAAGTAATAATCAATACCCAATAAGGTTTGTAGTGATATTAGCGGGTACACAACCCAGTTTGGATAGAGTACATTGAGTTATAGGAAAGAGAAATCACACAGAGACCAAGTGGAATCTAAGAATTTACACTACACTTTATTATCCACAAAGGGATCTAAGCAAAGTAAGTTTTACTCTCATTTAAGTAGTTGCATGCATTTACTTCAAACTGCTTAGTATCTAGATATATCAGCTTGAGTATACATCACCATTAGAGAAGCTTGGTTGTCTCCTTGCCACACATGACTTGGGGGAATTCGGGCAGTCACTCGGAGAGACCCTCTCTTCTGGGAACAGCGGAAACCAGTAACACGCATCCGCATTACAGGTGGGTAGTTCTCCAAGGGAGCGCAAGATTCCCTTAGTCTTATATACCTGTCTTCAAGGACAGTCAGTAGTTCCTTATCAGTTCAGCCCAGCAAAATACCTTGATACAAGCAGCTGGATGGACCTGGCAGTTGGCCAGACTGTTCAGGACCACCAGAACCTATGCCAAGTCTTGTGCGATTAATTATCTCTTATCTACAAGCTTTCTTTGTACTGTTCTAGAGATGGCAACATAAGATTCTCAAACTGCTGAAGTGCTGTGTCAGCTTATAGTGCTGTGTCAGCTTAGTAAACAGCTGTAGTGCTGTGTCAGCTCTTAATAGCTGTGGCATAAAGCCTTCAAGCCTGCATCTAGTAAAATGTGCTATGTGTGCTTATATGCTTACCAGTGCCATCTTAACTATTTATAAATGTTTGAGTTTCTCAATAGTGATCAATCAATCATACTTAATTAATACGGAATATTATTATCACAGTAGGTGACGTAGTGTGTGTAGGGGTTGTAGAGTGTGTGTTTAAAGAATGTTGTATGTGTTTACTTACAAGGAATGTAGTGTGTGCATAGGGGATCCAGAGTTTGTAGGTCAGTAATGTAGTGTGTGTAGGTGGTGCAGTGTGTGTATCTAGTTTGTAAAGGACCCAGAGTGTGTATAGGAGATTGTGTGTAGAGGTTTCAGAGTGTATGTAGGGATCTAGTGTGTGTGTAGATTAGATGATCCAGAGTTGGGTAAGGGATCTAGCATGTATCTGGAGCGTAATGTGTGTAGTGGTGCAGTGCGAGAGGTGCTGTAGTATATTGTTTGGACGTATTGTATATGCGAGGGGCGCAGTGTGCTGTGTGTATATATGAAGGGTGCAGCATGAGTGTGGGAGGGATGCATTGTGTGTGTAAGAGGGGTGCTATCTGTGTGAGGGTGTTCTCTTATCTGCCATCACATTCTATGTTTCTAATTTTCTTTGTCTGTTAACTCACTGAGGGTTAATTTAAATATTATATATGTGTGTGTGAGGGTGCTGTTGATGTGTGAGGGTGCTGTGTGTGTGTGTGTGTGTAAGTATGCTGTTAGTGTGAGTGTGCTCTGTGTGTGTGTGAGTGTGCTGTGTCTGAGTGTGCTGTGTGTGTGTGAGGGTCCTGTGTGTGTCTGAGTGCGCTGTGTGTGTAAGTGTGCTGTTAGTGTGAGTGTGCTGTGTGTGTGAGGGTGCTGTGTCTGAGGGTGCTGTGTGTGTGAGTGTGCTGTTAGTGTGAGTGTGCTGTGTGTGTGTGCGGCAACACTCCGACCTTGCAAGAAGAACCAGGCGGAGCTGCAGGATAGAGCTCCACCGGGTCCTCCTCTCCCCCCTCCCCAGCCAGCAGCAGAATGTCAGTGCCTGTGGGCCAGTAAGGGAAATCTCCCCACCGGCCCATAAAGGCAAACAGCAGGGCCGGCACTCTGATAGCAAGGGCCCATGCATGGGTCGGCCGGTGAGATCCTGTGATGGCCCACCGGCCATTTGCCCGGTATACCCGATGGCCAGTCCAGGCCTGCCAATTACCCACTTTTGTGTTGTAAAAAATCCACTACAGACAACTGCAGAGAATTTGCTTTTATTTGTTTTTTTGTTATGGTATAGATAAAGTTGAATTAGATTGTAAAGTACGCACTGTACTTGATCATAAATGTCAACTACCTTAAAGGGAAACCGTCACTTCTCTAGAACTTACACCATTTTGTATTAAGTATTTTGAAAATAACCTGCTTTCATTGCAATTAGTATTAACAATTTAGCAAATTAAATCATAATCTAATTTAGGTAAGTTAAAGCCAGGGAAAACATGGCAAATGAAGAGTAGAAATAGAAGCAATGTTTCTTTTCTTCTCGTCTCTGTATGCTTTCTTTATGACAAGTACCAGGTAAAAGGACAGAGCTTATACCAGTAATCGATGGGGAGCTAAGATGGAGGCAACATTTGCAAGATAAAGAGGTGCGAATTTCTACGTATGATTTAATTTTTCACTACTCACATATATAATTGTTACATTTAGGAATAAGTGAACTTAATGTTAACAAATTGTGGGAAGGGACATTTCCCCTTTAAGATGAACAGTTAATTATAAAGAAAGGGCAAATTCAGTACCATCAGCCCGCTAGCTTGGAATTTGGAGAATTTCAAAAATATAATTTAGAGCATATGAACTGACATGGTGTGGATATGTAGCGTGGTCACTTGTTGTGGTACATGATTCTCATCGCTTTCTTAAATATCAGATAATAGCTATAATTATTATTATTATTTATAAAGCGCCAACAGATTCCGCAGCGCTGTACAATGGGATATAATAAAAAGTGTCTTCAACATGAGCAACAAAGCAAGGGTTAAACAAGTCTTTCCTGCAATGCACTATATTTGGCATTCAGAAAAAGAATTACAGTCTCTTATTGTGTAAAATGCTGTAGCCAGGTTATTAAGTAACCAGTCTCACTCTAGTCACATGACATCCTCCTTCCTTTCTCTGTATGGGCTATCTGCAAAGTGATGAATAAATTAGAAACGTGAGCTGCTGAAATATAAAGATCTATTCAACAAAGACCCAAAATGTTGGTTCTGTGTCCTCCCAACCGCTCCATTTGAACAGCAGCATATGAATTAAAAAGGATATAAAGTAGACTTGTGTATTTGGTTTCAAACAAAGTGTGATTCGCTAGAATTTTGTTCCACCAATTGGTGGTTCTTCTGAATTCTGTTACTTCGTAGCATTATATATACGCATCACGAAATAAAACAGGCAATGGTAAAACAGTTTTGTTTGAAAATAATGATATTTTGCAGTACACTGATTGGCCCATATCTATGCCATTTGGTTTGTCTGAATGTTTTTTTTCTGAAACAACTGTACAGATGAAATGAGTCCGGGCTGTAACGCAGCATGAATGAATTACGGATTGACTTAAGTATTTTTTTTTTTCAGACAAATTAAGTCACCCGAGTCACATTTTTTGCATTAAGGGTCTGCTTAAGGTTTACAATATATTTGATGCTCAGTTGTGTCACCCTGCCCCAGCTCCATGGAACTCTCTGCCTCTTGCAATCACAGTTGGAATGCATGAAAAAGGAATTATTTCAGTTTAACATGAACTTCCACTCGGACATGTTGCTTTGCGTCAGATTAGAAGAAAATCACAGTATAAACTGCTGTTTGGTTATATCCAGTAGAACACACATTGAAGCTCCTTGAGTCCTGACTAGGTTAAATGGTCTGTGTTGTAGCGGAGCAGCAGGGGTTAATCCAGTAGCTCTCCGCTGGGAACAAAGATTCAGCATACAAAATCACAGGAACACAGCATAATCCACCTCCCCAAGGACTAGACGACACATAGTCTGGGAGTCAACTGAGGTCTTTATTCACAGTTCTGCTTTTATGCATTTTTCCCATGCAAGGGAGGTAACTTTCATAATTACTACAGTACCCAATCACACAGTGGTCACCTCCCCTACATCTCCTCCCCTTAGATTAACAGTTAACATCATTAATATGCACACAGTTTTCCCCAATTTGTAGATGTCCCCTAAATACAGGGGGTCCCCTGGTAGCCCTGATCTGGGTGAGCAACATACTTAAAATTCACCCAGATCGGACCAGGGGTTCGGGAGTTATGGCAGGCGAAAGATTTGACCGACCGCAGGGGCACAGTAACCGAAAATAGTTCCATGAGTTCTGGCCCTGCGATCGGTCTCTTCTTGTGAATCAAAAGTCCCGAAAGCCTATGGCATCCAGGCTTCATTTAGCGTTCGGATGAATCCCCTCGTTCGTGGGATTCCACCTACCGAATGCTGGGGGGGTTCGAGTGGTTGGTTTGTGCCTTTTGAGCGTGCTGGAGGTCTTAGCGGTACTTGGTTAGTCGAATGCCCGATTTGAGTTCCAGGCGTTCGACGACCATGTACCGCTGTTCGTGCGTAAGATGGCCGCCGCCACGTGTTCGGTAGGCGAAATGGCGGCTGCACACAAACTCACAATCAGCACACTTTGCAACACTTGATAATAAGAGGCACACGACCACACCAAGGTGGTCCCTCATTAGGTAGTTTAAGAGCGTTCACATAAACGATAGTGTAGTTCACTCGTGAACCGAGTCTCTGATGATTCCTGCCTTTACAAACATACGGCCATTATAATCCCAGCGTTCATTCGCATAGAAAAGTCAATATCTTAGTGGCATGGTTTGCCACATGTGTCAACTATTCTTGCTGTTCCATAATTTATTTATATTTTAGTTTAAGTTTGTGAATTATGGCCACAGTGATTCTGACAGATTACTTCACTTCTCCTGCATTCACTATGCAGATCCCTTTAACAAACGCACAAAGAGGTTGACACCTTGTGGTGTAAAAAGGTAAAAGCATGTATTTTAGAAACAAGACAAAAATATACATCCACATAGTACACAGGGGCATTCACACTGAACTGACAAGGCATGACGATGGGTAATCTAATGCAAAATGCCACTTATTCCAAACACCATAAGTGTAGCAGATTTAGCCCGACCCACAAGCCTGCGATCTTCCCCTCACTGGGCCACGCAAACCGAGCGCTACATGCAGCTCCCCTCAGGTACGCAGACTGAATGCTTCATGTGGCCGCATGACCTGATCAGGAAATCACTATATACTTACCAATTGGCAAGTCGAAATCCACACGGCCATTTCTTCCCTGCTCAGTGGCGGATCCAGAGCCTGATCTCGGGAGGGGCACTTGTAGATTATTTAAATAAAAAATCCAAGCACAATAACCACTACAGCTCAGTGTAGTAGTTATGGTGCCAGTAGTGCCAGGATCAGTGTTTGTGGGGCAGTGTGTGTAGTGTGTGTATGGGGACAGTGTGTGTATGGGTACAGTGTTTGTGGGGCAGTGTGTGTGGGGACAGTGTTTGTGGGGAAGTGTGTGTATGGGGACAGTGATTGTGGGGCAGTGTATTTGGGGGCAGTGTGTGTATGGGGACAGTGTTTGTGGGGCAGTGTGTGTAGTGTGTATGTGGGGCAGTATGGGGCAGTGTGTGTATGGGGACAGTATTTGTGGGGCAGTGTGTGTATGAGCACAGTGTTTGTGGGGCAGTGTTTGTATGTGAGGGAAGGAGGGCAGG